TAAGTAGTTAACAATGTTTTTAGTCAGACAAAACATTTTAATTTTATTTCGTATTTGTTGAATTAAATACTAAAAAAAATTTTAATTTACGTACAAGTAGTGAAAGTAAGTTTCAGTCAGACATCAGGTTTTAGAGTCTTAAAATTTTAATATCAGTAGTTACAGCCGTTTACAGTCCAGACAGCACGTTTAAATACTTGCAATTTTATTGTCAGTAGTAAAAGCATAATTCGGTCAGACTTTTAAATTTTTTCTTAATTTTTGTAATCAGGGGGTCTTTTAGCTAATTTCTATTACATTTTCACTTTCACTTACATTTTTACTATTCCACTTTCATAATTCTATTTTCACTTTCGTGAGAGTCGTAAAGTGAAAGTGAAAAGGTTGAAGTGAAATGATAAAAATGGAAATGGAATGGCGTAAGTGAAAGTGAAAGGCAGAAGTGGAAGTGGAATGGTGAATGAATAGTCAGACACTGTATTCAACGATTAATTTCCTCAAAAACTAATAAAATTAAACCTATCATAAATTTAAAATCTAATCTAAACACCATATTATAAATATAAAACGATATTAAAATCTCGCTAATCTCTCCTCATTCCAAATCTCGCAATTATCAAAAAAAAAAAAAAAAAAACTTTTTCCATTTTTCATTGGCTATCAGACAAGAATCTCTCTTCCCCTTGAAATTTTCCTATCTCGTTAAGAAACGCCTTTTTCGTTTTTATTGATTTTTAAATGTCGCTTTTGCGTCGCGGTTTACCAAAAAAAAAAAAAAAAAAAAAGTTCTTTCAACAAAAGTCGGACGCGCGCGCGAATGCAATCTGTCAACAGGAAAAAGTTAAAAAAAAAAAAAAAAAAAAAAAAGAATAAAATCTTTAAGGAAACTTGGTCGTCGTCTCAAAAGTCCGTCAACTGAGAACAAGTCCCTCGCACAGAAAAGAGTCTCTTCTACGATTCGCTATATGAAAAGAAAAAACTTTTTTTGTCTCAGAGGGAGACCCATAAAAAGTTTCCTAACAACGTGGAAAATTAAAGTGCTTAAAGTAAAAGACTAAATTACCCTTCAGCGATCAATTTACGATAATGGAATTCCAAAGAAAAAAAAATAAAATAAAAAGTGTTTTTGTCAAATTCATTCCCTCCTTTATTTCAATAAGGAACAATTTAAATTCTCATTCTTATTTTATATACATAGGTGAAAAACATTCATCTTCAATTAAATTAATCCATTATCAGAATATTATAAGGGATCATAAATATATAAAATGATGCAACTTATATTCAATTATTATTAATCAATACTGATATTTCAAATACATAATCAAGTTAATTTTATACAAATGAGGAAGGATATCAGTTTATGTAATATAAATTTAAATTAATAGCCAACTGTAATTTTTGTTTATTTTCAATATTATTATATTATAAATGTATACATTAAGTGTGAAACACCCTAAGTGAGCTTAACGTTAGTTGACATACAAACGGAACCCAAATTTCCCCAAAGAACACCTCTAAAAGCCATTAATCATTTTTTCTTTTTTTTTATGACAATAATATATTTTAATAAAAGTTTTATTTTTATATATGTCCCTGTAGACTCATACCTTGAGGTAATACTCAATAAATTATTTAATTTATCTTTTTAATAAAAAAAAATGTCAGGAAAAATTAAATAAAATATATAGGGTTATTTTTATGTTAATATATAAATATAATAAATACGTCGGTGAATTTCACAACGATTGAAACAAAAAAAAAATACTTTTCAAATTTTTGTCCTACAATTTTTTTTTTGTAAAAATGTTTTCAGTCAAAAAATTAATTTTTTTTTGTTGATTTAAAACGATTATAACTTGATTATAATAAATCCGAAATAAACAACTTTCCTTTTATAATATATTCTAAATTTCAAAATTAGTTATTAGAGAATCTATATATTAATAGTCTTTGCATGTTCTTGATAAATTTTAACCCAACTTTTCACATAATATTGAAAGTTTGAGAATTGTTTAATCTGCAATACGCTACTTAACACTGAAGTTTGGCCAATTTTCATTGAAATTAAAAAACAATGCAAGTACACTATATTTTCTATATATATATATATTTTTGCACGATAAAACTTCTCTGATTTCTTTTGTGAGTTTTTAACTTAGGACCCGGTTTTTATTTGAAAATATTGCGCGCCCTATTTTCCCTTTAACACGTATTTTTATATACATAGAGGAAAACAAACAACAAGTCTAAAAAAAAAACTTTATTTAGAATCTCATTTTCCTTTCAATTTTCGGGTATTATTTCATTTCACTTTTTTTTTCTTTGTTCTTTTGTTTCGATTAAAATTTCCCCTTCGATTCATTCTATTTTTTCTTTTTGATTTATTTGAATAGTTTTTTTTTTACTAATTCCCAATTATAATTCCAATTATTATTATTATAATTTTTATTTTCAGTGTAGTAATTTTTGGAAAAGTTCCCTCAGCAAAATATCTTCCTATATTACAAAAAGATATCGCCGCCGCTGTTTCAAGAATTCTTGACCTAGGAGGGGGGGAGTCCCCCCTCCTAAATTTTGAGGTTATGTTCGTTTAAAGGCTCTGAATGTAGCCGCAAGTCCCCCCTCCCTCCTCTCATTTCCCCTCCTCCGCCAAAATGGCCTAAATTTTAAGGTTATGTTCGTTTCAAGACTCTGAATATAGCCGCAAGTCCCCTCCCCTCCCCCGCCAGAAATGGCCTAAATTTTGAGGTTATGTTCGTTTCAAGGCTCTGAATATAGCCGCAAGTCCCCCCTCCCTCCTCTCATTTCCCCTCCTCCGCCAAAAATTGACCTAAATTTTGAGGTTATGTTTGTTTTAAGACCCTAATAAAGCAGTAAGTCCTTTCCCCTTCCCTCATCTCTCTCTGTATTTCCCGCCAAAAATGACATAAATTTTAAGGTTATGTAAATTTTAAGACTTTCAATATAGCCGCAAGTGGAGGTGGAGTTTCCGCCAAAAATGACTTGAATTTAAAGATTATGTTCGTTTCAAGACTTTTTAATAATTTATTGGTTTTTAGGCAATTTCATTGAAATTATTTTTGAAAATAATTTCTTAATGTCGATTTTAATTTATTTAATTATTTATTTATTATTAATTTAATTAATTTATTAATTAAAATTTAATAATTTTAATTTTAATAATATTTATTCAGATTTCAATGAATTTGTACACGGAGAAAATGAAAAAGTAATTTTTACTACTTTCAGAGTAAAACTGGACCAACTCGAAGTTTCTGCGCATCTCTGGCAATTTTTACTCCAAAAATAGTAAAATTTATTATTTCTGTAGTAAATTTTACTGTTTCCGTAGTAAGTTTTACTATTTCTAGAGTAAATTTTACTATTTTTGGAGTAAAAATTGCCAGAGATGCGCAGAAACTTCGAGTTGGTCCAGTTTTACTCTGAAAGTAGTAAAAGTTACTTTATAAAAGAAATCTTTTTTCTCCGTGTAATAATAATTCTTTGAAATAGGTGGTTTATTTGGAAAAATAAGATCAATGGAAAATTAAAAAAAAAAACGATTAAAACAGGGGGGCAGGGGGGCGTAGCCCCTCTATTATATATATATATATATATATAATAGAGGGGCTACGCCTATATATATATATATATATATATATACTAGGGGGCTATGCCCCCTGCGCGCTTCGCGCGCCAACCCCCATCCCCCCTCCTCTCTTCCCCTCCTTTTCCCCACCACCACCCTAAATTTAAAGGTTATGTTCGTTTCAAGACTCTGAATATAGCCGCAAGTCCCCCCTCTCCCTTCTCTTCTACCCCCCCTTCTCTTGACTTGCGGCTATATTCAGAGTCTTGGAACAGCGGCGGCGGCGGCGGCGTTGGCGGCGATATCTTTTTGTAATATAGGTAGATATATATATATATATATATATATATATATATATATATATATATATTTAAATAAAAACCACCGAATTCTAAATATACATATAAATAAAAAAGACGTGGGGAAAATTCAAAATCAAAAATTTAAACATTTCAGAAATAAGAAAACTAGACTTGCATGATAAAATCTCAAGGTTGAAAATTAGAGGGTGGGGGGATGGAAGAAAACATAAAGGAAAACTAGACATTGGGTCTCCGAGGATTCAAAATGGATATGGTTTAAAAGTAACTTGCTCTCATCTCTTTTATCTTCTTTTCGCCAAAGGGTAAATGGTACCCCAGCTTTATAGACTCATATATATATATTTTTTTTTCTCGTTTTTCTAGGGATCGAGCTAAAGAAATTTTCCACGAGAAACGTAAATCAGAAGAAATGCGATGTTTTTTTTTTTTTGCCCGTAAGGGAAAATCTCTCTTGCCTATTCAAGGTCTATTCCAGTGAATATATATCAACGCATTCGAGTAGATAAACCTTTGTCTCTGTCGTATGCTTACACACGTGAACACACTAATTATCTATGAAAACGATCTGATGCATATATTGAACCGAAACCTATTCCATGGACTGTCTAAATAGCTCCAAAAGCCAAAGATCAACTGTGGTTTAACTGCAAGGGTTCAAAGTCAATAAACCGATTTAAGGGGTTTTCGGGAGTATTCAAATTTGTTTCAAAAGTTCCCCAATAAATAATCTCTTTAACTATTAATACAAAATATAAATATAATTAATAAGCGAAATTTCTGTTTAATTATAGAAATAATTCCTGAATTACTAATTAATTGTTCAGTTTATTAATAATTGTAAAATTTATAAATATTTTATAAATAATTACAAACATTATTCGAACTATTTTTTATTTTATTTAAAAAAAAATTTTACTTTTTTATATTTATTTTAATCTTCGATGGATTAAAGTTTTGCATTTTCTTTTAATTATAATTTTGATATTAAAAAATACCCCACAATTTAATATTTACGATATATAAAAATTGATATAATATATTATAGATTGGATTGGCGAAAATAAGATAAGAATTGTGTGACTTACCCTTTGAGCTTTCCTCTTATCGGCACGTTGATTTTGATGATAAATTCGACTGAAATTACTGACGATAACAGGTACGGGTAAAGCGATCACAAGCACACCGCTGAGCGAGCAAACACCTCCAACGACTTTTCCGGCAATAGTTTCTGGCACCATGTCACCGTATCTGTAACGTAAAATCAAACAAAATTAATTAATTTCATCAATGACTTTAACGCCCTATCAACCAATTAAAATAAAATAAAACACATCTGCCTCTCATATAAGTAAATTAAAATAAAATTTATTTCCAAAATTAATTAAAATTAAACTGAGAATAATTTTATTTTTGTCTCCATAGTTATTTAAAAAAAATTATTTATTTAACGTATCATAAACTACGTTATTTTTGTTATATATTTTTTAGTTACTTTTAGTATAGGAAAGAGAATTTTTATTTTTATAAATCCCTTTATTTTTTTTGAAATAAATAATGTAAAATATTCCAAATTTTTTTTTTTTAGCTAGAATTTTATATTACGTAAACATAAAATCATTGTACTTGATAAAAATCGATGTATCGAAATTATCAAGGTAGTCATTTCTTTCCCCCTTTACAATTTCCCAAGACCGTTGAAAGTTCAATAAAGCAGAAAAGCTGCAATATTTAGCTGCGCGTGACATTTTACACATATTAGGAGGGGAAAAAACTGAATTCGAGGTCAATTTTTCCAGCATGAGTGAAGAAATATATTCTTTTTCAAAAGAATAATCGACCAATCACCCCATATATAATATATAAATATAGCTTGCAATTGATCTCTTATATTTGAATTTGGGCGTAACTGATAAATAATTTTTTTTTAGAAAAAAAAGGCCATTTTTATTATAGATGAATTTTGTACTATTTTTCTTTTTACAGAAGAGTTCTAAAATATTTAAATTATTGCAATAATGTTTTTTTTTCGACATAGGGGAAAATTGAAATATTTTCCTCAGAGTTTCGAATAAATATATTTTTCGAAGAAAATATAATAATTTATCGTTTATATATAGAGGTAAGAAACTTTCAAGTGGACGAAAATTCAAAAGAAAAATGTTTCCCCATAGAACAATTGACCACACACACACACATACTATTGCTTTCTTTCCGAGAAATTTGATGACCAATAAAACTGTCAATGGAAAATAAAGTAATATGCGATCTAAAACCGTCATTTTTCAAACACATTTCTTTCAAGTCGATACATTATAGAAACTTAAACACATTTTTTTTGCATAAAAGACAAAAAAAACAAATATATAAATAAAAAATTGATATTTTTAAAATGGAATTTTCATTTTTAAAAGGAGAAAATTCTCTCTAAAATAATATTTTTTAATATTCGTGGTATTTTTCATTAAAGAAGATTATATATCTATTTTAAAATACCAGGAATATATTTTTTTTTTTGAAATATTTTTATATAAAGAGCGATGAAAATGAAGAAGAAAAAAATATATAACTTTATTTTTAAAACAAGCAAAGTTCAATCAAGTTAAATTTAGGCATTTGAACTTTTTAATTAGATAATAAGGGAACATCATTCGATCCCAAAGCTCAAGAAACTTCCTTGAATCTAAAGTATGCGCGCGAGTCTCTCCCTGCTTTCATCCCGGAACTAAAAATAGACTTTAGGGGGTGAGAATGAAAAGACTTCTCTCGTGTATTCAGAGACGATACATAACTTTGTTGCCGGTAGTTTTTTTTTTTTTTTTTTTTAAATTACACAATCACTACAACGAAAAATTATTATTTCCTACGAGTATTTCAAACAAAATATCACATTTTCCCTATTAATTAAAAATAAAAATAAATATAAAAATAATAATAATTAAAAATAATTTTTTGTATTAAATTGAGATTGAGTAAATATTTTTCATCAATAAAAGACTTTAAATTGAATATGGTCAATATAAAAATTCAATTAGTGAACAACGTAGATATTTTAATTTTATTCATTTAAATCTATTTTAACATGATGGACTCCAAATAACATTTTATGATATGTCTTAAAATAGCAAACGATAAATGCAAATCTTTTATGACGAAATGTGAAAGAGCGTAATGCACTGAAGTCGATAAATCCTTTACGATGCGGTTAATGGACGATAAATGTGATCTGGATGAGTTCAAATTGAAAAAGGAAAGAGGTCATCAAGAAGATAATTTTTTTTTTTTTTTTTTTTTTTTTTTGACGCAAAAATGTAACATAATTTAAAATACCATACGTTATTATCATATTTTTCAATTTACATTTTGTTACGCTGATTCCTTTATTCTCACAATGAATAAATTCCAATTTTTTTTTTATTTAAGAAAATTTTATATAAAAAAAAAAATTAATTAATTTCCCCGGATACAACAAATCAGAAAGTAATTAAATCCTTTTGTATTGGAATAAAAGAGAGAAAAATCATTCTAATTAATTATCCCTTTTATTTGTGAAACCATCATAAAAGATGTTAAAGAAAAATACTATAGATTTCGAAACAAACGATTAATTATTATTATATTTATATCCCTTTTTTTTGGAATATACATCAATAGGACCGATGAAAAAAGATGATACATACAAATGAATTTATGGGAATTTCCTGTAGCGATTTATTTTTCTAATGGGATAAATTCAACTGCGTCGGGAAGAAAATTCACGTAAACAGATTGCAAATCGAAATTATTATTCTTGAAGAAATTGTAATCAAAAAGATTAAGATAATTGACGAATTTGTTTCAAAGAAAAAAAAAAAACAATTTTCCTTCTTTTATTATAGAATAATACTATCCATATTTTTTACAAAGAAAATATAAAACGAATCAATAAATAATTTCACTTTTCCTTAGAAAAATAATAAATTTTGTACATTAAATGACAACAGAGATATATATATATAGTGTTGGGTAAGTTACTTTCTTTTAAGTAACTCATTACATTTAAGTTACTTAATGAAAAAAAGTAACTAGTTACTGTTACAGTTACTCTTATAAAAAAGTAACTCGTTACAGTTACAGTTACTTACAAAGTAACTTAAGTTACATTTCAAGTTACTGAAAAATTATTTTAAAATTTGTCTTATCGAAATTCAATTTTTTTATCAAATGGGAATCAAATTAAAATGTGAAATATAATTGTAATACATGTATTTATTCAAGTTCTTCACATAGATTTGTATTCATTTTAATAAAAGCATCATCTATTCTTTCCCCTAAAGTTTTACGTGTAAAAATTTTTAAATTTCCTGGTAATCCAAGTAACACTAGGTCTTTAAAAGATGATTTTTCTACAACACTTCTATTACATAATCCATAATTTTTTTATCCAATATTTTTTGAGTAACTAGCTTTGAATCGGAAGTCCAGTTTTCCAAATGAGTTTACTTCTTATTTGACTGTTATGAAGAATCTGAGAATTGTTCTTCGAAGTTTCTCTTTTTTTTTCTTTCGCTATAGCTGCTTCTAATTCTTTAACGCATCCATGTTTAACCTATCCAAGTATTTATTTATAAAAATTTTTTAAATATTATCATTATTAAAAAATTATTTTTTTTAATCATGGATTTTGTTTGCCATATGTTAAGAATTAATTTACAAATCAATTAATAAGGTACAATTTCGATACGGGGTTGCTAAAAATTATTTTTTGTAAACTCTTAAATAAAAGTCTATATAAAACTTCCGAATACAAAAAAATTAATTAATTAAAATCTTATTTTAAAAAATTTTGTACACTGTTGAAATTATTCAAGTAAATCCCCTATATTGCAACCATGTTCTTTTGCTATCACTTTGCGCGCTTTTTTTGAAATGCGAAATTATTAAGTTTTTAAAGCAATAAAAAAGTGCAAAGAAAGTAACGAAATAACTTAAAATTAAAAGTTACTATTAAAATAGTAACTAAGTTTTACTTTTTTTAAAAGTAACTTAGTTACGTTATAAGTTACAAGTAAAGTAACTTTTTCAGTAACTTAGTTACTAATAACTAGTTACACCCAGAGAAATTATTTATTTGAATCAAATAAAATATATTTGAATTAAATAAACGTATATTTGTCTCAGCGCCTACTAACTTATTTATTTGGTGTAAATAAAAATTTTATTTAACATAAATAAATTTTTCTTTAGTTTAAATAAATTTTTTATTAAAATGAAATAAAATATATTTGCAACAAATAAATGAATTAGTAGGCTCTGAGACAAATATACTATTTATCTGAGTGTACTACTCAACACTGATATATATATATATATATAAAATGATAATGTAATACAACATTTCGGTATTTTAGAATTTCCATTTTATTTGAAATGCCTTTTTTTCTGTTCCTTATTTTGAACAATACATGTATTGTAATTCGATCTAAAAGTCAAGTTATTTTCCCTTAATTTCATGAATTGATTTGAATCCTAAATTTCCCTCTTTGCGAGTAGAGAATCATGTGATATAATTCAAGAATCCGGAATTATATACAAAAAAATTCGGGTCAAGGGTTTACTTTCGAAACGAAAACTGTCTGAATTATCCAATTAGCAAATCGAACTGCCGTATTTAGCAATTGACCCGCATTCCAAGTTTAAACTCATCCAATCTAAAAGAAATATCGTTTCGTCATTTTTACTCTCCAGCTATTTCAGCATTTATAAACCTTCAATTTTTTTCCCCCTCCCTAAGAATAATAATAATTGAAAAAGGGTCACACTAATTTTTCATCTTTAAAAAAAAAAATTCTAGCTGTTTAGAAACAAATTTTTTTTTTTTTTTATACAAAAAAAAACATTTTATGGGATTCTTTTTAGAAAAAAAAAAATCTTTATAATAAAAATGATATAATTATAACCATTTCAAAGAAATGAAGTTATATGTCTTTCAAGAAGAAACAGATTGATGTTAAACACGCACATTTTTATAGTAGTCGTAAACGAAATGAATCGGAATTGATTCTTTGATCGTTAAGTCTATAGAAGAAAAATACAAAACAAAGTCGCGCGTTGTTAAGTATTTTATTTTTAAAAAGTTTTAATTGACATTTTATTCTTTCAGTTTAAATATTCTTCAAATATGAAAAAAACAAAAAGAAATAAATTTTTAGGTCCGTTACTAAGGACAAAAACGGTCATGGTAACGGTTGTAATGGAAATGTTTGCTATGG